TGTTTGGCGGGTTGTGATTTTGCGGCCGGTTCATTCTTCGCGTTGCCTTCCATAATGAATACTTTGTACTCTCTCTTGCAGTTAGACTTTTCAGATGTTCTTGAATTGCTGCATTTTATTCATCGTTCAGTAGGTCTGTTAGGTCTTTATAGCTTTGTTGAACTTCGCGTTGTCGTGTGGAGATCTTGTTATTTGCCAGTTCTTTCGTACTTTAGGCTTTTCTGCAATTTTGTATTTAACGGTTCTCGAGCAGGACTGGATTTTTCTTGTTGTCTCACATTTTGGGGTAGCTTCCCAGGCAGCTTGTTGTTCTTCTTCTGCTTTTAGTGACACATTATGGTTAATTCGTTCGTTCAGTATGTTTCTGAATTCGTTCCAGTTGGTTTTATTATTACAAAGTGATGGAGGTTTCGGTTTTTCTAGTATATTACGTGAGCTGAGTGTCACTAACATTGGGGAGTGCTCAGATGATAGATCCAGGCACGATTCTGCTTTTATGTTATTTATTGGTATTCCTCTGGTTACACAGAAGTCTTTCAGATTAGGAATTTTTCTGCGGTCTGTTGGCCAGTAGGTGGGCTCTTCTGTTGCCCCCGTTTGGAGATTATCTTTTTTCCGGCTAGATATAGTTGCCTACCCTCCGGTGTTGGGTTATGTGATCTAGACCCCCACCCAGGGTGCTTAGCATTAGAATCGCCTCCCGTAATTAATCTATTACCGAGTGTTCTGAAAATTGCTCCTGGTTGATTGCATATCTAGGTGGGCCGTAGACAGCTGTTAGTGCGATAGGTCTATCACACTCACAATCCAGTCCTCTACGCAGACGCTGGTTGCTTGTAAATGTTCCTGTTTAAATTGCTCTTTTTCATTGTGTTTTATTGATGGTTTTATTACAATTGCAGTGCCCCCATATGCCACACCATTCGGGCGTTGTGTGCGGTATACAGGATGATTCAAAATTGGCGTCATTCCTTTTAAGGGCTAATAGGGACCCACTTAGAGAGTACGAGAAAAATATTTCAAGAAGATATTAACAGTTGAAGGTCAAATTTCAACTTTGTTATTAAGCATTATTTTGTAAAGGTCCCATGTTTGATTGGTAGCCTATTTGAGTACTTAAGCAATCAAAAAGAAAAATTACGATATTTTTGTCAACGTACGAAAATTTTTGATATTAAAGAAGTACTCATCTACAATTTTTTGATGAAAAGTCAAAGCGGCAATGATGTTTCTTGTCATTAACAAATACTTACAGATAGACAGCGTGTGTCAATAATAACAACCATTTGTCAAACTGTGGCTTATTTTGAAGCTGCTTTCACAAAATGTAAACCAACTGCGATTAGTAATGGGAAAATGCTATAGTAACATAGCAGAAAGAACTTACACCAGCAAAGAGCTACACACTAGACGAGTGGCCCAAAATGGACGCAGATAGTAAACAATCTAAATGTGCTCAGTTTCCAGACCTAGAGGAACAGGTATTGGAGATTATTGCTGCTGAGCCTTCCAGGAGTACTTGAACTATTGCACAACAACTCAACTGCACTTTCTCAAACACCGGATACTTAATTGTCCCGATAACTCCCCCGAGGAAGGGTCTACGTTCCTACCATGTATGCACAGGACACTGGAACGCATTAAATATCTGATCTTCCGAACACCGGTTCAAATATGAGCCCAGACTCAAAGTGATTGGTACACCAAGATGTTTGGAGTGAAACGGGCAGGACTTGCTCTTGGGATCACTTGTGTTTTATCAACAGAATTGTATTTTATTTGATCAATGATACATAACCTTTAACAGGTGGTTTTGGATGAAAATTATGACCTACTTAGGGATAACACTCATTTGCCCCAAAAGGATGGCAGCACTCGGGGGACTGTTTTGTCGCAAAACTGACCGCAAGGTGACACCGTTATCCTAACCTCAGCGCATGTTATTGTATTTTTTATTTTCTTTGCTTCATGTTTGTCCATGGTTACCGGAGTTTTTAATAATTACGAAGGAACAGGTAACGTAATGTTAATTAGGCAGGTACCCTTGAAAAACATTGTTGCCATCTTTCTGATCTAGTTTTTTTCAAATATCTAAGTTTTTAATAACATTTAATTTTTTACTATTGTTATGATTTTTATTTCTAACGAAATGGTAATTATCTGGGGCGTGAGGTAGAGCAAGAGCTAAGAGACTTCGACCGCTCAATGAACAACACAAAATTAGGTACACTCAAGTTCAACTGAATAACTGATGTATTAAAACAAAATTAACAACTTTGTAACAGAGCAAATAAGGTTTGACTTTTATAACAATTAGCTTTGAAAAAGGACAGAAATTCGAGCAGTGTATCACCCGGATATTTCGGTAACACCCTTATCCTATGGATACCTTAACTTTAATCAATCCTACATGGTGCAGAGGAAGGGTCCTGAGGGGGAGCAGCTGGAGTGATCACTTCAGTCAGTAGCCTCGCAGGTCTTCCACTGAGTAACGGTCGCGAACATATAAATCGAAGGAAAGATCCACAGTACCACAGTAAAGAGGTACCAAAATATTAACGGAAATTACTTAGGCTCGACTCTGAATTAAGGGAATAAAAAAACTGAATGAAAAGGCAGTCGAACCTGAGTGTTTCAGCATAAAACAGTCAACTAATCAACACTACTCAGCACAGGATAAATCTTAGATGAATTGAAAAATCCGGAAATAAAGAAAGTAAAAACTATATAATGTTCGTCACCAAAAGTTGGGCGCCAGTATGCTTCCAAGTAGCATACAACTTATACCAAAAGGAAATCTCAACATCATTATCAAATATCATTAGCAGCACCAACCCCAAAATCCCAAGAGAACTAGTTTTGTGGAATTGTTCCAGGAAACGTTGATCAATGACAGGCGGTCGTGGCGGCCATCATGGATTCGTTTATCCGGCTCTCGTGTCCCAAACTCTACCTGGGCTGTTTGGACACTATTTTCCAGTGAAATGCCTTGCAATATATGCAGTCCTCAAGGAATATCTTGTACTAAAAAGAAATACTAAAAAACCGACCATGCGGTACAACTTTCTAAAATTGGCCACTGCGGCACAAACTCGCAAAAATCGACCAATCAATCGAATCGTCTCCTTCCTTTGTTTCCAGGCAACAAAAATCACCTGCTGTACTATTCCGAAATCATCATAACGTCAATGTTTTGATTGGTTAGAAATGTTTTAAGCTCTGGTTCTCTTTGGGCCAGACCATTGGCATTTCAGACTGCGATTTTGAGCGTTGAGCTCATTATGGTATTTTTGAAATGAGGGCTGTGCGAAGGTTTAATATATTTTCCATTTTATTCATTAACTGTATCGGCATGTTTTCCTGATTATTGTTAGATTGCTGCATTGGTACATTCGGTTGTTGTAGAGATTGCGTTTTTAGATCTACTTGTTGTTGGGTGTTTCCGTATTGTTGTTGGTTTTCTCTTGTTTGTTGTGCATATGTGTTTCTTCTAGTAATGTTAGGTATATTATTCTGTTGTTATTTATTAGTTGTTTATTTCTAAGTGTTGGGAACATTTTTTGTTTTTTTTGTGTACGTACACACAACCTTTGCAGTTGGCAGGGTGCTCCCCAACACAGTTACAGCCTGAACCTCTTACCTTTCTGGGGCAATTTTTTTAAAAATGTTTTTGCAAACACTTAACGCAATTGGGGTTTTATTGCAGAAACGTTTTGTATGTCCATATGCCTAACGTCTGGCACATTGAGGAATATCCCTTTTTTTGTGTGGCTGCTTAAAACTGATTATTGAATGCATCAGTTGTTTTATTTTATAGACGTCTCGGTTATTTTCTCTTCATTCCAGCTCCACGAGAAAGAGAGGTAGCGGAACGTTGGTTGAACTTTCCATATTTGTTAATCTTGTGCCCGGTTTCTGGTAGATTTCCTTATTGGTTCGATAACTATCGGTCCGCTAAAGTTCTAGGTTCTATAACTACTATAAAGTAGGCAAAGCTAGGTATTCTGTGGGTAAAGCCATATAACGAAGAAGAAGAATCTGTAAAGAATGGTTAGAGTGACTTGTGTTACAAAAAAAAATTGTCCGGTTTATTTTACTTCCGAAATCTGGTGCCTAATTAATATTACAAGCTATAAGTGTTGGGCTCCGAAGAAAAAATCAAATATATAGAAACTATGCAGATGTATTTTGTCATTCTTCCTGTTGCATAAAGCCTTAGATCTAGAGTAATTAGCAATTGTTCGCAAACAGATAAACTGGGGTTTATCTGTATCACTGGCTGAATTTGTTCCTGAAGTAGCTCTTCTAGGTAGTGAACAACGTTTTCGTGCTCGAAAATTGCGAATTATTTCACTATTAAGAACATTGAAAACTTCCTCGTCAGATGAGTCCGAAGTGGACTCTTCCATTATATTCAAAAACTTTGCTTCCCTTTCACACTCAAATTTTGCTCCCAAAAATGTTATTATTGTTTTCCCAAAACGTGTTCTCTGCTCGCAGCTGATTTCGTATGACTTTTGACACTAATGGCAAATACGCTTGCGTGCGCTGCTCCTACAAGTTATAGAACCGATAAAGGTCCGAGAGCGACCGTTTATCGGTTCTTCAATATAACGAACCGCTAGCTCTTATCGAACGTTTCAGAAAACCCTTTTTCTGACTTGTAGATCCGTTAAGGCTATTGGAACTATAAAGATCGTTTCAGAAACCGGGCATTAGATTTTCAGATTTCTTTTCCGCGTTGCTGCTTCTGTTTCTAGATAAAAACTGTAAAAAGTGTTGGGAGTATTTACTATTATACATATACTTGCTCCAAGTCGACCTATCATCTCTACTTTCAATTACCCAATCCCGTATTAAACGAACCGTATTTAATAATGCTGAATTGTTGGGATTTCAAAACAGAATTTGTGCCAGTGTTAAGTGAAAGTAAATGCGAATTCTGAATGAACTAATAAACTGAATTAGCGTCGACATGCGTCCAATAGGCGTCCCGACGCTGAATAAAGCGATTGAGCTCCAGTGCGCGCTTATCTTCCGTCGAACCGACTGGTAAAACCAGCAGTGGATTCTCGCTCCGTGAGTTAAAACTTTGAAAACTTTCGAAATTTTTTTGCATACCCGTTACTGTATTGTGCAATTGTGGCGAACTGTTCTTGGTGACGAGTACCTGATATTTGAGTTTCGCTAGTTTTTCGACCGTTTGATAGGTGAGTTTTAGTCAAAACCATAAAAACTTAGCTTAACTGCCATAGTTTTAAAAAATTACTACGTGCACATTGTGTATACTCTACATAGTCACAATGGCTGTTTTACATGAAGCGTGAAATTATAAAACGTATAATAAATAAAATGATTTTTATGGCGGTACCCCGGACTGACTAAAAAGTGGTTTGCCGATTAATTTTGAAAATTTGTTTGAACACAGAACATACCAAATACAGGGTGGTTTTTTAGTGCGATAGAGTCCATTATTTCCGATGGTGTTGAACTGTCGAAAAAAACTTTTTAACGCAATATAACTTTTGTTTTGCAATTGGAAGGACCTGTATATTAATACGACATTAGGACAATTTACAAAGTTACAAATTTGCATTTACACTTTAAGCTGTGAAATCAACCGTTTTCAAACTAAAATTATTTTATTTAAAAATGTCAAAAAGTTGTTACATTTTGTAAGGTGGCTATGGAACTCATTAAATAAGTGTCAAAATTTGATGATACTTGACATAATCAATGAAGAAAAGTGCATCATGCAGTGATATTTTAAAATAAATGTTCAATATGATTTTCGTTAACATTTAAGCAACTATTAATATCTACGTTTTTGAAATGAATCGCTAAAGCAGTTCAAAATAATCTTATTATTGCTTCGAAAAACAGTTGTGATTCGTTCCTTCATGTCATCTTTTGTAGTTGGAGTTATTTTATAAATTTCGTTTTTGACGTAAGCCCATAAAAATAAATCACTTTTTGTCAAATCGGGTGATCGAGGTGGCCACTGAACAGGCCCACCTCTGACTATCCACCTCTCTGGAAATTAATTATTTAGGTACTCATGAATTTGAGCTGTATGGTGAACTGGAGCTCTATCATGTAAATGCCACATTCTTTCCTTGATATAATTAGGTAAATGATCAATTAAACGTGGCAATTCAAATTTTGACACTTATTTATTGACTTCCATAGCCACCTTACAAAATGTAGCAACTTTTTGAAATTTTTAAAATAAAATAAATTGTAATTTAAAAACGGTTGATTTCACAGCTTAAAGTGTAAATGCAATTTGTAATTTTGTAAATTGTCTATCTAATGAAGTATTATTATACAGGTACTTCCATTTGAAAAACAAAAGTTATATTGCGTTAAAAAGTTTTAGATTGAAGTCCACATTATTAATACCCTGTACAATTTATTGATATTTTGGTTCAATGGAATTCTTAACGGATCTGTGGTGATTGGAAAGAAGTATTTTTTTTATCTTTAACTGCTTTTTTTGCTTCTACAATGGATGTTTAGATACCATGTTTTTGAGCAAAATTTTACTAAAATGGCGATAATCTGCCAATGTCGCAAGTACGAAAAAAAATTACTGTGCATATTCAAGCTGCATTCCATGAGCTAATGTGAAATGGGTAGTTCTCTTTAAACAAATACACTTTGATCTTGCCTTGCTTTTATGAGACACTCTGTATCATATAAGATATTTTTTTAAATGTGCGTACTTTGTGCGTCAACAACTATTAGATGAAACTATTTTTCGAAAGTTCAACACCATCGGAAATAATGGACTCTATGTGTCTTTGATATTTCTACAGAATTAAATTTAGTTGAAAAATATGAATTTTTCCAACTTGCCAGTGACTCTTTTTACCTGTTCTACAGCGTGGTCCTCAACTAATGTGACAAAATTCACTGATATATGATTTAGAGAAAAATATTGCGTCTTAGGCGAATTTGTCTGATTCGAAAGTTAACAGTTTCCAAGGAACAGGGTGTCAAAGTGTAAATACATTTTAGTTTTTTCTAAATATATTTTTAACCAGTTTTAGTACTAGGGGTTTTTCAGATCGACAAATAAAATTAGCTATCAACTAACTTGCAGTTCCTAGAGGGCGCTAGATTCAATCTTCTGGAGCGATGTAAAACATTAGAACTTTTTGGATGTCCAAATGTCGCAATTTTGTTGGCAGCACCTCGTTCTCCAATATTTTCTAAACGAAAAAGGGGTAGTTTGTTCCCAGTCGACATTTCTCACCGTTTTCGAGAAATTTCACATTGCAGTTTTTTTGAATGAATTGAAAAATGACAAAAAAGCAGATTGATGGTTGTCTATATGTTTAATTAAGTAAATAATGCAATGAAAACAAAGGTTTGTTTTAAATGTGGAACAAGTCAATAAATTGCGACGAAATGATATTTTGATATGGTGGAAACTGGTACTTGTTTCAGTTAAATCACAAAAAAAATTTCCTCTTTAAGAAATAGGTTGTTATTAGACCATTTTCAATTGCGGAAGAAGGTGCTACTTTTTATGCATATGGATTATCAGAATAGCTGCCAATTAGTTGTTACAAATAGTAGGAAGCAACAGATGGTTAATCGAAATGGAGAGTAAAGTAGCCGTATGTGGAATAGTGCCTAAAACTAATATTGCTATAAATTTGAAAATAGTTTAATCAGAAGCTCTTTCTAAAATGTTTCACCCTTACCAACACCCATGGAGCATTTTGCGGCTGGTATTTGCCAATATTGGTTCGAACACGAATTGAAACGGTCGCTATATTTTTACACGTGTTTAAATCAAACTCGAAAGCTTCACTAACCTGATCTTTACTTTCACTAAACTGATTTTGTACTTCAAAATTTTTCCTATTTTCAGAGATTCTAGGGCTCGGAATCAAACTCAAATAATTCGAGTATTCGAGTATGCAAATATTCAAAAAGCGAATAATTATGTCTAGTCATAACTCGAATTATCGAATACTCGAATAATCGAATACTCGAATACTCGAATACTCGAATACACCAACATTATCAAACTCACAAGGTGCAAATATCTTTATATGCACTTTGTAAACTTTCATAAAATAAATTATTCATATTCTAGAAGCATTTAAGCAAATACCCATATAATTACAAGCAAATGAAAATAATTATTTACTCTCCTGCAAATGAAAATAAAATTACATCTCTGTGTTCTGGTGATTCTCGTCATCAACTTTTGCGCGGTGTTACAATTAATGTGCCTAAAAAGGCATCTTTTTATCCGTTGGGGCTAGTTGCCAAAAATGATATGAGATAACGATTTTTCTTCTTGGAAAACGGTGAACGGAAATCGAATACTCGAATACAAAATATAATATATAAATTTCTTCTGTTCCGAACCGACTGGCGTATAAAACAAAGCCATTAACAATTCAGTTGGCGTTTAAAAAATAATTCTCTATTATATGCCAACAAAGCAAATGAAAAATGGGAAGGTGTTATTAACAGAAGCTCAAACAAGACACCAACGAGTTCAAGTAATATCTTTATGGTAAATTTTTCTACCACCTACTGGAACTGCCTTAAATATTGTTCTATTGACGCTTTGGTTTGGTTTTTCGTGTGTACTCTTTAGTTCATCAACTTTAGCAACATTTTTCCACAACGTTTTTTTGAATTGCTGAATGACTTTTTTGAATAACTGATAAGGGTGCACTCATACAAAACTGGACCAATATGAGCTTCTAGGCGTCGACTCATCCGCCAAATTTTAAATTAGCACTCATGATAATTTTATTTATTATAAATCGTTCCCAAATCGAAGAACTTTGATTCATCCGTTTATAAAATATTTTCCAAGTTATTTTCGCCACAGTAGCTAAAATACACGACCAAAAACCAGTAATCCCTCTTTTCCCGTCAAAAATGTTCAGGCTGGTTTGTATTTATAAGAAGATTATTGTATTTTTTCAGGCTCTTCTGAACAGTATAGTAAAACAAAGTCGAGTCTTTGAACACAGCTTAATAGAATTCTTAAAGTAAGCTTAAAAATAGCAAAACAACACTAAAACTTCCATGCCATCGCTTAGTACAAAATTCTTTATTGTCCTTCAATTTGTGAAAATACTTTCATTGTCTATAAAGCTTTGTAGTCTTAGAAAATAACACTTATACGGTTGAATGCGATGCGGATTTCCCTCAAGGTAGTATGTTGTTGCTTTCAGATCAGATTTTTGGCAAATTGATGCCTCCTGTCTTGAACGCGGGCTTTTTGAGAACTACTAGGACTAATTGGCACTACATATTTGATTTGCAAAAGTAATTTTCCAGCCCTTTTAATGAGTTTAAAAAATATTTATTTGGTGAATGAGCCAGTTTAAAACAAAATTGATGACCCGGAATTACGGCGTATTAGAAGGGGTCGTCCATAAATTACGTAAGGTCACACATACCCCAGTGCAAGAGGCCGTACGATTTCTTAAATTACCAACCTGCCCTATTCTATTTTACGTAATATTTTTTTGAGAAAGAAACATGTATGTACATTATGTAATTTTTAAAGACATAACTTCTTATGGCCCGGTGCAAACCCAGTAGAATGCGTGACGGCGTCGTTATGTCTCGCATAGAAAAAGACATGCACCAAATACTATAGACTATAAATACGGTCAACTGAGTTTTAATTTTGTGAAAACCTTTAGGCCAGCGCTATCTACCGTCATGTAAGGTCCGTAAGGAATAGATAGTGCAGAAACTATGGCTTTATTCGCGGTAGCGATTCAGAATCGGTTCAGAACCGATAACCAACCGACTTAGGGCGCAGCATCGGGTCAGAACCTGTTCAGAATCGATCCTTGATTTCTTCGTTTCGCGAACGCTTTTAGAACCACCTTTTAACAGTGCCAGGAGGATTTTAGTTATTTTATTCCTAACAGTTAATCCCCTAAGCTGAAATGCAATGGAGTGAAAGTGGAAAGCCGGAATTGCTGTCTTCTTCTCTTCTGTTTCTTCTTCCTCTCATCTTTTTATGATCATGGTTTTACTGCAAAAAGTGGCAGTTTTTTAATAGTTTAAATAAAAACGAATTATTGAGGTTTTTCGTCGCATTTAATTAATCCATTCTTAAAAACCTCTTGTGCATACGCAATATTTTTTACATCTGCTGTATTTGCCCTGTATCCCAATTTGCCGATTACATGACAAAAAAATCAATAAGTTTCGA